CCACAAGACGACAGTCGTCGCACAGCAGAGTATAGCAAGAGTATAGCAGAGCATAAGCAACTCGGAGAGCAGCTCTGTAGAATATCTTCTTTATTCTATCTACAACTATAATACACCACTATATACAGAGCTAAATGAGGTCTAAACGAAAAATCTGAACTGCACTGAGTGTCTGCAGCTGCTCTTCGCAACAACCTTATCTCGCTCTAACACTCAGTCTCTCTCTCTCTGACACACTGACTCTTTTATGTTAGGCTGGAGCGGAATAAGTAGAGAGCAGAAACCGCCCCCTCTCCGGAGAATCAGCAGAGAACATCAGCAAATTCTTGGATATGGGAGGGGTGAAATCTAACCCCCCCCCATTTTTTTATTGATTTTCCACAAAATTTTAAACACAAACATAAATCATAACCTTATTAGGACTAATCTTATTACCATTGTTAAGCGACTTTCTCGTATCCCCCAAGTTGAATTTCAGTGTATATCATTTTTAACAAGTTCTCCAATACCAGTATTCTTACAAAATTAAGTTAATCACTTAATATCTTTCTTTCTTTCCAATTCAGCATTAAACATATTAATTCATCACATTACATATTTAAATCCTAAGCCTATCTCGTATTTGCAAGCTTTTCCAATTAATTTAACTTGACGTAACATATTAACTAAATTGTCTTGGTAGCTCCAGCAATCTCGTCCTCTGTCACCCCCTTCTCCTTGTGCCCTCAATCTTTCCCAGCATCGGTCTTTTCCAGGGAGTCTTCTCATGAGGTGACCAAAGTCTTGGCGCCTCAGCTTCAGGATCTGTCCTTCCAGTGAGCACTCAGGACTGATTTCCTTAAGAATGGAGAGGTTTGATCTTCTTGCAGTCCATGGGACTCTCAAGAGTCTCCTCCAGCACCATAATTCAAAAGCACCAATTCTTCAGCGATCAGCCTTCTTTATGGTCCAGCTCTCACTTCTGTACATCACTACAGGGAAAACCATAGTTTAACTATACGGACCTTTGTTGGCAAGGTGACGTCTCTGCTTTTTAAGATCCTGTCTAGGTTGGTCTTTGCTTTTCTCCCAAGAAGCAGGCGTATTTTAATTTTGGGAGAGCTGTCACCACCTGCAGTGATCATGGAACCCAAGAAAGTCCCCAGTTTTTTCGTAAATTTCTTGCAGCAGATCTTGTGGTCCTCACCAGACCCCCAATGTCAAAGGTGGTTCTGTTAGACTACTGGGGCTGTTTTCCAAAATATGATCACTGCTATTTCTGCAGTATTGCCAAGGCTTTTTTAGAATGGAACTTCCTCAAGAACTGAGGTGGTGTCCCTTGTTATGGGGCATGTTGGAATTGAAAAGTCAACGCAGATCAAACCCAGGCTGAGGGGACGTTCTCATCTCCAGTCCATACGAAGAGAAACTCAAAATTCGCTATCCACATACTCATTGGATATATACATGAACCACTAATTGATGCAACTCCCCCCCGCCCCGGTTTTCCTCCCAGGCACATCTCGCAAAAATACCTTGCAAAACAAGTTAAAAACAGTTGGGGATTTACAAAAAGACTAGTAGAACTTGACATCAAGGCAAAAAAAATAAACGGCAATACCTCTGAAAGTTAATATTTGTTGCAAAGAAATCAATTTTTAAACAGATTTGGGCCATTTGGGCAGTTTCAGCTTCCAAGGCTGCAGTTAACTCCCAGGGTGTCCTACCCAGTAGAAGAGGCTGTTGCCAGCAGGTGCTGATCACGACTTCCTTGCATCAGCAGAGGCTCCTAAGGGAAGCTTCGTGCCGCGGTGGCCACAGCAGATGGAGGCTCCGGGTGTGGCAGAGGCGGGTGAGGGCTGTGAGCTTATGTCAGGAGGTGCCGCATCCAGTCTCCGCCTCTTACCTGGCACCACTAGCCTCTGGGCAAGGTGCTCCTGCTTTTTGGGACAAATGTGCTCTTTCCACAAACTCCTTAAGGTGAGGAGGAGGCAGGAGTGGCAGGCGATGAATGCCACCCTCCCCCTCGTGGGTCTGTATCTGCTGTCCCCCTTCCAATCGGCTACCCTGGCCCTCACGGGGCTGAACCCCAGCCCCGGTCCTTTCCTATGAAGCATCCTATGCAGGAACTGTAGTTGCAGTTGAAGAAATCCTGCCCGGTGCCTCAATGGCAGGTCTCCCAAGTTCTTCCGTTTGCACTGTAGAAAAAGGTAACTTTTAGCCACTGTTATCAACTGTTCCAAAATGATACTCTAGTTCCCAACCAATCGGAAATGCTCTTTGGACTCTTGCTGCATGTACTTTCATATTCCGTAGGGTGGAACCCCCTTCAGAGACACTCCATTTGTCCTTTGAGACTAATACTCCCTTCAATGGATTACCATTCTTTTTAAGAGACCTGCCTTCTCAAATGTGTATTACGTAGTTAATTCTTCAAAATTGGCATGGCTTTTTGAGGATTAGAGATCATGCAGATTGTGTCAATAAATGCTATTCACCCCTTTCCCGGTTGACCCTTGATACATGGGTTATGATGGCTCCAGGCTGGTGGCTCCAGGGAAACTGAAGGGGACTTTGAGATGGGACAACTCTGCTTTCGTGTCCCTTCCATTTTGAAGCAAGGGATGAGTCCGTGTCGTTCATACATGTGCTGGTTTTGTTGAAGTCATAGTAGCAAAACCATGGATATGACTTGACACTGCTTTGGGAATTCAACTAAGGTTCAGAAGTTAATATTCAAAAGATGGACTTGGATAAGCTTCTAGATGAATTAAAACATTTTAATGTTTTTATTTTGAAATCTTTTAAGATATATTTTTGTTTTCTGTTACGTTGTTTTGATTTTCTTCAACCGCTTGGAGATTTTTCCTAAAAATATAAACTGGCATAGAAATAAAAGGGGGGGGGGAATATAGTCACGTGCATTTTCCAAGCATGGGCTTACAGTCTCTCCATCTAGCTTCTAAACAACTGTATTTTCCTTACTTTCCAGAGCTCCGCCTCCTGCAGCTGTGAGGCCATGCTGTGAAGTTTGACATTTTAGTCATGTCTGCTATTGGGCTAGAGTATTGTTTACAAGGGGGTTGGGAGAGGTTATCCTGGGTGGCTAAGGACAGAGATAGAAGTTCTTCCTGTTCTGTTTCCTTCATGAGCTGGTGACAGAAGCAGCAGATCACTCCTGCCCCTCTCACTCTTGAGTGCTCCTTGCTTCCCTTGACAGCAAAAGATTAGGCGAGTTGTCCTTGTCTAGTTGCTTGCAGTTACTGTCTTGTTCCAAGATCCACCAGCCTGTACGCTCCGCTCTTTAGTAGGGTGGAGAGAGGCAGAGGGCAGGTCCCACAAGACCCACAGCAGGTGGTGTTTTATCCTGGGCAACCAGCAATCACGGATTAGGGAGATCTCGCTCCCAGCTGACCTGAAGGGCTGGCTGGTTGGATGACCGCAATTCTCTCAGGCTGGAGCCGGGGGGGGGGGGGGGGCTCCTCTACCGTACTGCCCCCTGCTGTGAACTGGCCCCCTTGTTCTCGCCAGCTCCTCCCGGGCACATTTTTCACCCCCCCCCCCCCCCGGGGCCTGGCTCAAGCCCTCATCCCACCACTGAGGCATCAACTCCCGAAGGGATGATGAGCTCCTTTGTGGCCCCTTTTGTGCCAGCCCCTCCCCCAGGGCAGCCTGGCTTTATTTATTTATTTTAATGTCTTTTTATTAAAGATTTTCTTGGTTTACAAAAGTATGCAATGTGTCTCTTTTTCTTTCAAGTAACATTTTTTGCAAATCACTTTCATTTCTTGAGACATTAGGAAGAAAAGGGGGAGAGAGTGAAGGGGGGGAAAGGTGAGTGGGGTTGGGTTGGGGTGGCGATGTTTCTATTTTACATAATATATGTGGGGTTTTGTGTCAGCGTTGCTTGTGCAAGTTCTCTGCTATTAGCAAGCGGACTTTATACAGTTTCCGCCAGCAGCTGGTGTTCACCTAAGATGGGGCAGTGGGTATTCCCACTATTCCCTGCCTGCCCTCAAGCTCCTGGTCCCCTGCACTACCTTTTCTGCTTGCCATCTAATCCACCCTCTCTTGGGTCTTACTGACTACCTTATCTGCTTGCAGCAGATCTTCTGGTCGTCACCTGACCCCCAGTGTCAAAGGTGGTTCTGTTAGACTACGAATCACCTGAAAGGGTTTCCTGGGGCTGTTTTCCAAAATACGATCACTGCTATTTCTGCAGTATTGCCAATGCTTTTTTAGAATGGAACTTCCTCAAGAACTGAGGTGGTGTCCCTTGTTATGGGGCATGTTGGAATTGAAAAGCCATCACAGATCAAGCCCAGGCTGTGGGGACGTTCTCCTTTCCAGTCCATGTGAAGAGAGACTCAAAATTCGCTATCCACATACTCATTGGATTTATACATGAACCACTGCAAACCCCCCCCCACTCCGGTTTTCCTCCCAGGCACATCTTGCAAAAATACCTTACAAAAGAAGTTAAGAATAGTTGGGGATTTACAAAAAGACATCAAGGCAAAAGAAGAAACAAACAGCAATACCTGTGAAAGTTAATATTTGTGAAAAATGATTAAATCAATTTTTAAACAGCTTTGGGCCATTTGGGCAGCTTCAGCTTCCAAGGATGCAGTTAACTCCCAGGGTGTCCTACCCAGTAGAATAGGCCTGGCAGCCCTTGGAGGCAGCTGTAGTCTGAGGCTGAGGGAATGTTCTCATTCCCAGCAGTCCATGTGAACAGAGACTAGGTAGTCACATTCTCCTTGGGCTTGGTGCCTGAACCCCACTGTAGTCTCTGTTAGACTACGAACCACTTGAAAGAGTCTCCTGATGAAGGTCCTCTTTGCTGTGCCTATCGCCATCTCAGTAATTGTTTTATCACCCCCAGCTTTAGGGGAAATCCTACCTGAGATCATGTACCCTAGTGCATCCCCCCTAGTGCAGCCTGATCCACCCATTCTGTTGGGAGCGCTGTCCCAATTTGCAATTCAGCAAATATTCCAGCCTTCGAAAGACTGCTGTTAAACTGAAGACTGACAAGTAAGTCTTTTCCTTACGCCATCCCATGCTTTTGAGGCTGTTACCCGCAGGTGCTCTGCTGATCACGACTTCCTTGCATCAGCAGAGGCTCCCAAGGGATGCTTTGTGCCTCAGTGGACACAGCAGATGGAGGCTCCGGGTGTGGCAGAGGCGGGTGAGGGCTGTGAGCTGATGCCGGGAGGTGCCGCATCCAGCCTCTGCCTCTTACCTGGCACCACTAGCCTCTGGGCAAGATGCCCTTGCTTCTAGGGACAAATGTGCTCTTTCCACAAACGCCTTAAGGTGAGGAGGAGGCAGGAGTGGCAGGCGGTGAATGCCACCCTCCTCCTTCCAAGGCTGCAGTTAACGCCCAGAGTTGGGTTTCCTACCCAGTAGAAGAGGCCTGGCAGTCCTTGGAGGCAGCTGTAGTCTGCCAGGGCCCTGCCCTAGGCCTGGTGGAGAGAGGCAGGGGGCAGCTCCCACAAGACCCACAGCGGGTGGGACCAAATAATAGGCAACCAGCGATCATGGATCAGGGAGATCTTGCTTTGAGCCGACCTGAAGGGCTGGCTGGTAGGATGACTGCAATTCCCCCAGGTTGGAGCGGGGGGCTCCCTTACCGTACTGCCCCCTGCTGTGAACTGGTCCCCTTGCTCTCTCCAGGTTCTCCTTCCGGGCACATTTTTCAGACCCCCCCCCCCAAGAATCCTGGCCCACGCCCTCGTCCCACCCCGAGGTATCAACCCCCAAAGGGGATGATGGCCCCTTTGGTGCCAGCCCCTCCGCCAGGGCAGGCAGGCTGGATTTATAAAGTCCCCCCTGCCCCGCAGCTGGTGTTCACCTAATTTGGGGCAGTGGGTATTCCCACTATTGGCTGCCTGCCTAAGGCCCTGGTCCCTATGCTATCCACATACTCATTGGATATGTACCTGAACCACTGTAACCACAGCCCTGGCCCTTGCCCTCGCTTTACCCCACCCTGATGTTGGGGTGACCCCCTTTGATGTCTCTCCTTTGGTGGCAGTCCAGCTTTCTAGAGCTGCCGCAGGCAACTGATGTACGCCAAGCTGTGGCACTAACTGTTGCCAGTGCTTCCTGCCTGCCCAGAGTCCTGGTTATTGCAGGACTGTGCAGCCCTCTTGAGTCGGATTAGGCGAGTTGTCCTTGTCTAGTTGCTTGGAGTTACTGTCTTGTTCTGAGATCCACTAGCCTGTACGCTCCGCTCTTTAGTAGGGTTGTGGAGCAGGAAGGCCGAGCCCAGGGGAGCACAAATGGTGTGGAGAAAGTATGGGCTGCTCCTTGAAAGAAGAACAGCCATTGTTTATGCCTGCTCAGTTCTGGCCCAGCAAGGATGATGTTTCCTTTGCTGTAATCCCCTCTCTCCCCCCCCACCCCCAGTAGTGCCCTACGCAGGAAAGGTGTGTAGGTGAGAGGATGAAATGCTCCTTCATAACCCGTTGCTGATGCTGCACCAGCCCCCCAGAGAGAAAGGTGGGGCATGCAAGCAGGCATTACACTAATGTAATTCTGAACACACATTCTTGGAAGTTTGACACATCAGTGGGGGAGCATCTCCCAAGAATGAAAACACGCTTATGAGGTTGTAAAGTGTTCCAATGGCCAAGGACAAAGAAAACCTTTTTAGGCTGAATTGTGCCATTTTAGACCATTGTTAAAAAGAAACATTTTTTGTTCAGTTTACAGATTCAGCATGTGCAAAGAGACCTAAAGAACACGGCATTATGGAATAATCTCCATAACTCTGTTAAATCAGCTATGGTTGATTTAGGCCTATTCAAGTAACACCTGAGCCACAGATACATTGGCCAAAGGGCCCTACCTTATAAAAAATAAGCTAACCGTGGTCTTGAAATGTATGTGAATACATATGAATAAATATGAGCTGTATGTGGCTGTGGATCATTGAATATATATCGAACAGGGTTCTACAATATCGGCCTTTCAGGACTTCCAACCTCAATACAGCTGCGCCAACTTCACTTCAAAACTCAGGTGGGCTCTCTCTGCTGCAGGAATACATCATTATTGATTGATTGAATTTATATACCGCCCTATACCCGGAAGTCTCGGGGCGGTTCACATAAAAAGACCACAGTATATAAAATAAAAATAAAAGCAATAACCCAATAATGCCCCCCCAAGAGCCACATTTTAAAAGGGTATAGCATCTGCAAGACAAAGCATTTTTTTTTTACACCAAAAAAAAAAAAACCACAACAGAAACTGGACCAGCATTGTTGGCTTAATGGTGCGCTCCTAAACATACCCAATGGGTTTAATAACACTTACTTCCAGGTACATATGTATATAGACACTGCAGCCCAGCTTTGTATCCTGCAAACTAGCCTCTCTTTAGCCAGCAGCCCTCATCCCCAAGAATCAAACCCGTTCCTGGAGTTTGGACTGCAAAGCTGGCAGCTATTACAGGACCAATTACAAACGTACAACGGAGAACAATCCAGTGCATCGCAAATTTTATTTTTTGAAGAGCCTTTCAAAGATTCGTTAACCCCAGAGGCAATGTGTTTTAAGGCCAGCAAATCAGCAAATATTCCAGCCTTCCAAAGACGGCTGTTAAAGTGAAGACTGACAAGTAAGTCTTTTCCTTACGCCATCCCATGCTTTTGAGGCTGCTGCCGGCAGGTGCTCTGCTGATCACAGCTTCCTTGCATCAGCAGAGGCTCCCAAGGGATGCACTTCTGGGACAAGGCAGGTGGCAAAGACATCCTCCTGCCAGCAGGTAAACAAGGGGGGGGAGGGTGTAGATTCTGGAAACCAGGCAACCAGAACCTTTTGTTTTGCCTGCGAGGGGGGAAAGGTACAAACGGGGAGGATGCTTCCCTCCGTGAGGGGTGGGGTGTGCAGAGAGCCTGATTTCCCCCACCAGGTGCCAAAAAAAGGAAAGCGTTAAGTTTTGAGGCAGTCTTCCTCCTGGAGGTGCCAGATTCAGGCATCAGTTTCTCCGATGGGAGAGGCGGAGGATGAGCGAAGAAGGAAAAGGGAGTCTTGTCAAATCCAACTCTCCTTTTGTTACGCTGCTGGGAGATTTCATCAGGCTATGTCAGGCGCATCCCCTCTGCCTCCATCTCCAACTCGTGCCCTCTTTGCACCACTCTGCATCAGCTCCTCACCTTCCCGGGAGGAAATGGTGATTCCTGCAGGCTCCGCATCTTCCCCGCTGCCATTGCCTCCTGCTCCTCCCGCCTCTCCAGGCTTGACTTCCTGTTCTTGGAAGGGCTGCAGCTTCAGAGCCTGGCGGAAGAGGCTGCGGTTCTCCCTGCGCAGGCGCCGGTTCTCCAGCCTGAGGCGCGCGTTCTCTTCCCGCAGCCGCACGCTCTGGCGCTCACGCTCCTCCCCGAGCCTCAGCGCCTCGGCGTGGCTGGCGGCCAGGTCGGCGTACCTCTCTGCCAGCTGCTGCGGAGAGCCGCCCGCCCGGCCTCGCCAGCCGACGCAGCAGCACTCCCCTTCCTTGCCTTGGCCCCTCCGAGCAGAGATGCTGCTGCGGCAGCCAGTCCCCCGAGCCCCGCAGAAGCAGCAGCCCCTCCAGTGGCGGCTGGTGCTGCGCATGCGTCTCATCCGTGGTCCTCGGCACCTCTCTGCGCCTCGAGAGGAAAAGGGGGGAAAGCAGCTCTGTCCGGCTCTATGTAACGGAGGAGGGCGGAGCTTGCTGGAGCACATGGGCAGGGCTTGGAGCCTCAGACGCCTGTTCCTCCCCCCTCCTTGCAGCTTCTGCTGCTGCTGAGGGCCTCAGATGCACGCTGAGGAATCGTAGAATTCACAGAGTTGCCACCTGTCCTGTATAATGCAGCGTTGCGTGTCGAAGTCCCCAAGCCGCCCCTAAAAAATTCACACTTCCCACCCTAATTTTGTTTAAGGTTTTTGGCATAATTTTGGCCACAATTTTATTAAAATGCAAAATGTGAGAGGTTGCTTAGGCATTGGTTGTGACTATCTGTCCCCGCCCAGGGACAGAACTGGCATCTGCAAGCCTGCTAAGTCAGTAAGGGAAAACATTTTATGGGGAGTAAATGGAGCTGGGTACCAGACCCTCACCTCTCCCCAAATGCTCCCAGGGGCTCTTGCGTGGCCCTAGCCCCTTGACAGGGGTTCGAACAAAAGCATGGCGAGCCCCTGGATTCCTTTAACGGAATACCCTTGCAGCAGCAGCAGCATTGGAGGGGCAGGCACAGCCAATCCATACCCCTCCACCAACCAATTTTCTAAAACCAATGCGTAACCGCATCCTTACAAGTTGTGACGATTTGCTACGCAGTAGGCAAAAACCAAATGGCACCAGCCAATCAGCCAAATGGACAAAATTCCTACCAGGCCCCTGCCTCAAAAGCAGACAGCTCCATGACAGGCATAGGAATGTCAAATGCAAAAAAACGCCCTAAAATTAGGGAGGGAGGGCGGGTGATGCAATGCGCTCAGCGAAAAGAGGATGCTCAATGCTGTGCACTGGGAATATATAAACCAAGGCTGTCAAATCAAAGTTGGCAACAGCCAACTCTCCCCAGCAATCAGAGGAGCCCAATCACAACGATGGTCATCCAAACTAACTCACCCAGCAACCAGGGGGTGTCTGGTTAACCCCACCGCAACTCGTGCTCTCCATGAAGGAGAACATGCTTTGTCACGTCTTTTGCCTCAAGAGCTGCTTTGGTTCATGGTGCCATTGCAAGCCTGCTCTGCCTCTAACAGGATGATTCTCTCACAGTTCTCTTCCCCTGCCACCAGGAACAGCAATATAAGCAACCGTGGCTTCAGCATGGCCTCTGCAGACAATCCTCTACATCAGGCATTGGCAAACTCTGCCCTCCAGATGTTTGGGGACTACAACTCCCATCATCTCTAGCTAATACAACCAGTGTCAGGGATGATGGGCCAGGAAGCAGATCGCATCCATGAAAGCCTGCAGGTCCATCCTTACATCTTGTTGATAATAATAATATATTATTTGTACCCCGCCCATCTGGCTGGGTCTCCCTAGCCACTCTGGGCGGCTTCCAACAGAGATTAAAAATACATTACAATGTCACAGATTAAAAATTTCCCTGAACAGGGCTGCCTTCAGATGTCTTCTGAATGTCAGCTAGTTTATCTCTTTGACATCTGATGGGAGGGTGTTCCACAGGGTGGGTGCCACCACCGAGAAGGCCCTCTGCCTGGTTCCCTGTAACTTGGCTTCTCGCAGTGAGGGAACCGCCAGAAGGCCCTCGGCGCTGGACCTCAGTGTCTGGGCAGAACGATGGGGGTGGAGACGCTCCTTCAGGTATACTCGTTGATCTGTTGTGAGCCCATGCCACTTCTTGGTGATGTCAAATGTAGAGCAGGCAATAGGCAAACTTGGCCCTCCAGATGTTTTGAGACTACAAGTCCCTCTCTATGCATGAGCAGGTGGAGTTCCTGGTAGACTTTTCTGTGAGTGCAACTTGGCTGCCCTGGATGAGAAGCGCGCAAGTGGTGACCAGCTTGTCCTTCACAGAACTTGCCCAAGATGTTTCTCATTGCGTAGACAAGAAGGTGCTGTTAGAATCTCAGTAGGTTGGTAAGTTTAAAAGTAGAGAAGTAAAAAAGGAAAAATTACTTCCCTGGGTGGCAATCAATGCTAATTACAGTCCTGTTATCTGCGGAGCGCCGAAGCCTGCTGGCTTCCATCGCCATCTTGGAGCCGCCTTTCCCTCGACCAGCTTGTGGCCCTGGTGACTTGCCAGCAGAACAGGCTCCACCTCAGACCTGCCACCGACATCTGGCAAATCCCAGAGCTTGATGGGACCAATACAATATGAAGTTAAGGGAGAGAGCTCAACTGGTAGAGCATGAGGCTTAAATCTCAGGGCTGTGGGTTCGAGACTCCTGCATTGCAGGTGGGCTGGATGACCCTTCTGTTGGGGCTGCTGTTTTCGTTTCTGCTAAATACAGGACAGGGTGGAGCAGTGCGGTTGGGGGGAGTTTAGTTTTTTTATCTGGTGCTCAAGGCACTCCCATTGCAATCCCTCGCAGCCAAACAGAATTTGATTCTGTCTGTGGTTGGCTACCCAGAGCTTTAAAAAGTGAGTTTTCACATTCCCATTCAAACACATGCATTTGGAGAGGATCCCTAACTTGGCAGGGAGATGGGGAGAACCTACATTCCAGTGGGGTGGTCCTTCGAGGTCTCTTCCAACTCTACAGTTCTATGAAATACAGGACAAAATTATCAATATAGGATGTAGCATTTTGCATTGAAATAATGGGACAAGTCTGCATTTGTGTCTGCATTTGCGTGCGCGCGCGCACACATTTCCTAAGCCCACCCCTCCCAAAATTAAAGGGCAGCCAGTCCCCCACCCCCCATTCCAGGCAAACTGACACATTTTTGGAGAGGCAAGGCTAAGGCTGGACTCTCCCTCCTCCAGTTCCTTTTTTTTAATTTTAGAAAAATCTTTATAAATTTTCACATAGACAAATATACATGAGTCACATAACATATAAAACAGAAAACAATACAAATGAATAGAAACACTGAAATAAGAAAAGGTAAACATAAACAAATACAATATATTACGCTTACATGACAGATTAAAATATATAACTTCCGGTTAGCCGATCTAACCGGAAGAGTCCACGACCAGAAGGAGGAGGAACACCACGAAGAATGGAAGAAATTTAATGATTATTTAGCTAAATTTGTTAAGCTAAAATAACTGGAAATAGCATCCAGATACTTAATGGGTTTAGGATTGTATTTACGTTAACTGATAAAATAATATGTGTAATACAAGAAGAAGATTTAAAGATGTTAATGTTTAATTTAAAGGGTATTAAAATTGGGATTTGGAAAACCGTTATAAGGATATGCAATGAAATTCAACTAAGGGGAAACGAGGAAGTCGTTTTACAAAGTAAATAACTGTTATTTTCAATAAGGTTATGATTTATGTTTGTTATGTTTTGTTTGTTTTATGTTTTTGTTTGTCGTTGATATTGTAAAAACTAATAAAATTTTTGCTAAAATAAAATATATAGCTTCCAATAATTCTCATTATACTACATATATTATCTGTATTCCTTGCACAGATTCATATTATTTTGTTTTGTGTGTATATATATATAATCCACTTATATTTTATTTCTGCAAGTATCTTATTGTTCGTATAGTACGTTTTTAAGTCTTCTTTAAATATTTTCCATTCCCTATATACCTTCTGATTTGACACTCTAATATTTTTAGTCAATTTTGCGAGTTGCAGGTATTCTATCATAAGAGTTTGCCACTCTGTAATCGTTGGTAAGATTACATTCTTACAATTTCTTGCCACTATTGTTCTGGCTGCCGTAATTGCGTACATAAACAATAGTCTTAAGATATTTTTTATTTCTATTGGTAATATCTTTCAGTTCCAACCCAACCCCCAGACAGGATCTTCAGCAATATAAGCCAGTAAGAACCTAACCCGATGCAGGTTTACTTAGAAGTAAGCATAGGGGATTGTGGACGCAGTTCACTGCTTGTAGCCATGGGATAAACACTCCTGAGTCTTCCACAAATTTTGTGTTTTAATTTAAATTGAACAAAAAAACCCCTACATTGACTGGAATTTAGTTTTCTCTTTAGCTATACTGATTTTAATCCCACCCCCCACCTGCGTTAACAATTTATGGAAGCAGCACATACCAGATTAAAGTGTATTCTTCCATTCTTAAGCATTTGAACAGCTTAGAACCTGACAAGAAGCATATTTTCTTTTGGGTCTTTTCCAAGGATGTGTGATTAAGAGTGATACTTGTGTAGTGTGATCCTAAAAAATGGAAAATAAACACTATTGGTGGGGGGGAGATACTAACTAAAGTAGTGTTTCGCAAACTTGGGTCTCCGGTTGTTTTTGGACTACAACTCCCATCATCCCTTGCTAGGAAGTGGTCAGGGATGATGGGAATTGTACTCTGAAAACAGCTGGAGACCCAAGTTTGAGAAACACTGAACTAGAGATTTGGGAAAGTGTGCCAGCTCCTTCTCCAGTACTGACGGGTTTTCTTTTTCTGTACTTGCTGGAAGCAGTTCTTGAAGGACTGAATATATACTTTAGAAATACTGTATTCTAACATAAGAGAATGGGGAACTTTGAACTGGGCGGGTGTTCCTTAAATACCTTTCCCTTGAAAATAGACATAGGGTTTGCTGTGGCTCGTATTCTCTCTGCATACAACGTTGTGTGCACTACACAAGAGGTTTTTAATCTTATGTAGACAACATTTACTAGCTGTTTGTTTTGTACTGGATCACTTTGTCAGTTTTGCCACCAAGAGTAGGATGATTTACAGCCCTCCAACACATCCACATGTTCTGTAATTGTGTTTAGCTACCAGGTGTAATGGGAATTGCAAGCCTTGGGCCTTCAATATGTAAAGTCAAAAGACATAGCAGTAAAGGAAAAGGGGACTGGGAGGGAGAAGGAAAAAAGCAAGTTCTGGTCTGGTTTCCTCCCCACCCCTTATTTAATTTTTGGTATTAATATAAAATGCTAAGAAACTGATGCAAAGAAAATTGAAAAGGTACAACAGTGTGTAGATAGAAACAATATACAAATAAATACCCTAACCCATGCATTCTTATAAATTTGATTTTATCCTACATATTTATAGCCTACTACATTTTGTATAAACTCATTCCAAATATTGTTATATTTATGCAAAGTCTATGTCTGTAAGCAGTCTGTTCATAAGTTGCAAATGTTACGTTATCAATCCATTTATTAAAGGGGATTATACCTTTATTCTTCCAGTTCATCAGTATCAGTCTCTTGGCTACTGTTGGGGCACATAGAATCTATTTTTTTTGTTCTTTTGCTAGCTTCCATACAGTAGGTATTGCAGTCCAGAAGAATGTTCTCCGCTGAAAAATTTGGCTTTCCGGACGGTCATAATTATGGTCTTGGTGGCAGTTGCTTGTTTCAGCCGTAAGGGAAACGTTCTGAAAGGTTGGGTTGATGGAACTAAAATAATTTTGATGCATATATGGGGGGGTGGGGAACCTAAAAATGAATTGTCCTATTCCTCCACCACTCCCAGGATGTGCTGCAATGATGATGGATGTTGCGTTCGGCCTCATGGCTGTGGATTTTACAAGGTGCATTTGATCTGCAGTTTTATAGGCTCTCCTGTGCATTTTCAATAATTGCAAGAAAAAATAGGGGGGGGAATGAAAGGAGGAATAATAATAATATTTACACCCTGTCCCATGTGATTGGTTTCTCCCAGCCACTCTGAGCAGCTTCCAACATATATAAAAATGTAATTAAACATTGAAAAACTTTCCTATAAAGGTTGTATAGTTAAATTGCTTCCTTGGCTTTGGGGGGGGAGGAGGGGTTGCATAGCTCCATACCCTGCAACACATTAGACTGGTGATGGTGAACCTTTGAGACACCGAGTGCCCAAACTGTAACTCAAAACCCACATATTTATCGCAAAGTGCCAACACGGCAATTTAAGCTGAATCTCATTTTTTCTGTGTGTTTCACGTTTCTTCTTTATGGCTGCCGTTTTAATAAATAATCCTACATAAAAGTTAATGCATTACATTCTTCATCTAATTATATTTCCATTGATATATAATTTTATTGTATAACTCAGTGCTTTTTTTCTAAAAAAATGTTTAGGGGTACTCTAATTTTTACTCGGGGAAAATCGCCACCAGGTGAAAATAAATACAGTTCAAATCCGGAAAAATAAATACAGTGAATTTCTTCTCCCATTAAATTCACAAAAGTTTTAGAGGAAGTATGCATCCCCCACAGAAAAAAAGAACCAGTATTACTCCAAAACAAAGTGGTGTTATGAGCCATCAAACCTTGGAAATACATTTTTTCCAGAAGGTTCCACAATTTTGGCTTCTAGTGTACACTGGAGGGCTGTACTAAGAGCCACCATCTCCCAATTTTTAATATGAGATAATAATCATTGTCTTTGTGCGCACACTCAAATAAATATCAATCCAGCCAGATGGGCAGGGTGTAAACAGTACTATTATTATTATTATTATTATTATTATTATTATTATTATTATATTTTGCCGTTTCTTTGGCTGCTGTTTAATTGCAGCCCCCACAGAATGATTTTCTCTCTTGGCTTCCACGGGAAAGCCCAGCGAACATGTAAATCCAGCAGCCATCTTTATATGCTTGCTGACCTGGGAGTTATGCCCTGCTGAACTCAAGGCAGCTTACTCCAGAGTAGGATAAACAGACTGGCGGGAGTGTTGCGCAGCAAAGTTAAAAACACAGAGTCTTCACAGTAATTGAATAAAACTTCACTGCGGCAAAACATCTTTACAAACACATAATGAACAGAAGATTAGACTAGGCTAGAGATCACACACAGAGACCATTGCATTTATCCTTCTGGTTGTCCTGTTTCTTCCTGTAATAGATACAATACTTGCACAAAGAATGAGTCGTCCACAGGATGACACATGGCGAGTCAGCATGCTGAATGATTATGCAGCTTTTCAGCATTTTACAACATTTCTAGACTCCTTTACTGCTTCTGCTCTCAAATACTTTTATCACATGGCAGGGAGGCCTTGGCGCATCAAAAGTCAATGCCTGCTCGGCCCCTCGCTGGGTTGCCAGGCCCTGGGGCCGCAGACTTTGGAAGGCGCAAGCCCTCCTCTCCTACCCACCCCCACCCCTGGCATAGAAGCTACGGCCCTGCCAGGGTGATGGCGCACCTGCCCACAGAGAGGGCTCTTGAGTGCCCTCTCTGGCACGTGTGCCATAGGTTCCGCACCAATGCACTAGATACAGAGCAGGGAAGCAATAGCAGTGTTAAGTTGTGGGTGAACATATCAGACGACACAGCGATTCTTCAAACAGCTCTTGTTTATTCACAGGCCAGAACAGAACTGAACTGAAGGGTTCAGCCAGTCTGCTTATACAGTGGAACCTCGGGTTAAGTACTTAATTCGTTCCGGAGGTCCGTTCTTAACCTGAAACTATTCTTAACCTGAAGTACCACTTTAGCTATTGGGGCCTCCTGCTGCTGCCGCGCCACCGGAGCACAATTTCTGTTCTCATCCTGAAGCAAAGTTCTTAACCCGAGGTACTATTTCTGGTAACCTGGGTCTGTAACCTGAAGCATATGTAACCCGTGGCACCACTGTATAGAGCTCCACTAGAACGCAACAGTAACCATTTTCTGTAACTATCCAGTCACTGAATGTCACTTTCAAGCCCTTATTTGCACATGTGGACCTGAGTCAAAACTATCTACAGTATCCCCCTGCTGGCCCAGGGTGAGAACTTCAGTACATAACAAGCAGAACTGTCAGTACACCTTTGAGCTGATGCCAACGACTCGGCTTAACAAGTGGTTCTGCCCCGACTGGGCTAGGCTACTGGAGCGCTTCCAGAGACCTTCCACTCCTGGAAAGCAGGTCTAAGTGCACTGGGCCCACAACTGTCCATTGTGAGACCAAACTCAGCAGAGTATAAACAACACGGAAGAAAGCTGTGAAGCATAACTGCTTTTATTTTCTAATAGCTACTAAAAACTAATGGGCTACTGGATTGCATGAGTGTTAACAGCTCCCACTCAGCCATCTAATCTCTACATAGATAACACAGACTCCACACAGAGTAAGGCAGGAGCGGAAGAAGGGAAGAGCAGTTTCCACCCCCTCTTTTCTGAAAACATCATATCAGGAGATTCTTGCAATGGGAGGGGGTGGAAATACCAACAAGAACGACTGCCCTGTCCCCAAGAGTTGGTTCCGGTGAGTCCAGCCGCATCCTCTAGGACCCTGTAGTCCAGCAAGAGTCTCTTTATAGCTGGAAGTGTCATGGTCTGGGCATCGCCCCCTAGGCCAGCTGGTAAAAAGGCCTTGAAGGGAGCAGGCCCTGCAGTCGTCCTCCTCACAGCTGGTGGTCCTTGGGCTTCCGGGAAGCCTCAAATGAGAACAGATTCAAGTAGTCGCCATGTTGGTCTGCTGTAGTAATTTTTTTTAAAAAAATATTGTTCTGAAAGAAGCCGTCTTAAAAGTATCAAGTCCCTTTTCATAACAAAGTCTTTAAAAGACTCCTTCTATTTAAAAATTTATTTATTTTGAAAAGTTGTCCAGTAGCACCTTAGAGATCAACTACGTTTCGGGACGCAGGTGGCGCTGTGGTCTAAACCAGAGAGCCTAGAACTTGCTGATCAGAAGGTCGGCGGTTCGAATCCCCGCGACGGGGTGAGCTCCTGTTGCTCGGTCCCTGCTCCTGCCCACCTAGCAGTTCGAAAGCACGCCAAAGTGCAAGTAGATAAATAGGTACCTCTCTGGCAAGAAGGTAAACGGTGTTTCTGTGCACTGCTCTGGTTCGCCAGAAGCGGCTTAGTCATGCTGGCCACATGACCCAGAAGCTGTACACTGGCTCCCTCGGTCAATAAAGCGAGATGAGCACTGCAACCCCAGAGTAGGTCACGACTGGACCTAATGGTCAAAGGTCCTTTCCTTTAAGTTTGTTCTGGGTATAAGCTTTGGTGTGTATGCACACTTCTTCAGATACTCTGAAGTCACTAGACCCTTATATATAATGAGAAGTAGGGGAGGAAATGGGTGATTGGCTAATGGGTAGGGTGAACCTGTGATGACTATTAAGGGCTGCAATTGGTCCTCCAGGAAAAAGCAAGGGATTTTTAAAGGATGGTATACAGAAGACCAAAAATAGTATTAGTACGTGTAATGAGACAAGAACCCACTATCTCTATTCAGACCAGGTCTCTCCATAGTTTTCAGTTTGGTAATAAGCTGTAATTCAGCAACTTCTCTTTCCAGTCTATTTCTGAAATTCTTTTGAGATCTTGTATAGAATATCCTGGGAGATAGAAGCGTTCTCTGTATATTCTAAGGAAAAGCAGGACATTCCAGGAACAAATCTTGGGACAGCTTCTGTAAATCTGGAACTGTCCCTGGGAAATAGGGACACTGGGAGGGTCTGGATTAAATAATACTCATGGCACCATGCTAGGGTTCATTGTTTAGGGGCAATGGGGTAGGGTGTCAGTATGCCTTTCAACTGGTGTCAGCAACTGGGCTCAATAACTGGTTCTGCCCTAACTGGGCTAGGCGACTGGACTGGAGCACTTTCAGAGACCTTCCAATGGTGGAAGATAGGTCCCAGTGCACTGGACTCACAGCTGTGCATTGTGAGCACCAGACTCACGCAGAGTATAAATAACGCGGAAGCTAGCTGTGAAGCATAACTCCTTTTATTTCTAATAGCTACTGCAAACTTAAAGAACTACTGGCTTGCATGAGTGTTACAGCTCCCACTCAGCCATCTAGTCACTACATAGATAAGACTCTCTCCACACACAGAGTCAGTCAGGCAGTCAGTCAGGAGCAGAAGAGTAGAAGAGCAGTTCTTCCCTCTCCTTTGCGTGTCGAGGTCCCCAAGCCACCCCCCAAATAACTCACAACGCACACTTAATTTTTGTTTAAGGTTTTTGGCATAATTTTGGCCACAACTTTATTTAAATACAAAACCGTGAGTGGTTGTTTAGGCATCGGTTAAAACTATCTGTCCCCCTGCCTGGGGACAGAACTGACTTCCAGGCACCACCGAAAGCCAGTAAGGGAAAACAAGTCGGGGAGAAATGGAGCTGAATCACAGGCCCTCAACTCTCCCCCGCAAGGTCCCCAAGGCTTGCCCAGCCTAGTCCCATTCCAGGGATTTGGACGAAAAGATTGCAAGCCCCAAGATTCCTTTAACAGAATTCCCTTTGTGCAGCAACCATGGAACAGCAGGCCCAGCCTATCCTAACCCCTCCTCCACCAATTTACAACCAATGCCTAACCGCCAATTGAGCCCTTTACGCTCACCGCCAACCACTCACAATCCCAAGCCAACATTCAGCTTTGCAGTTACTGCATCCAACCAAACATCATTCCCCAGTACGGAGAGATGTACTCCATCATTGCGGTAAAGGGCCAGTCTTGAAGGTAATATCTGGGTGGGAAATAACCAACCCACCCGAATCCGCCACCTTCTTACACACCTGAAGCGTAGTGCCCAATCAAGAAACGTACTGAACGACTCGAAGGCTGAGCAAGCCACGGAGCAGCCCATAGGCATTGCCTTGTCAATGAAATATGCCCCCTCAAATCTGAAGCCCAACCAACGGAAGTCGGCTGGATGGACGGAAAGGAGGCGGAACGCCGACTCAATGTCACATTCGGCTAGAAGCGCCCCTTGCCCGAATCTGCGAATCATTTTTACTGCTTGGTCGAAGGAGGCGTATTTCACTGTACAAAGTTCCTGCGGAATCGCGTCATTAACTGAGCCTCCCCTTGGGTAAGAGAGGTTGTGGATCATGCAGAATTCTCCCGGGGTCTTTTTCGGTACGATGCCCAGAGGGGAGAGGTGAAGTCCTTCCAAGGGAGGCTTCGCGAAGGGGCCAGCCACCCTACCCGCCCTAATTTCTTTCTCTATCTTTTTTCTGACTATCTCGGGCCTTTCCCTAACTGATTTTTGATTTTGTGGATCCCCAGTGTTAGGGGGGAAAGCCACTGGGATTCTGAACCCCTTAGAAAACCCCTCCCACAGGTATTGTGCGGCTTTGCGATCAGGATATTGATCTAGCAGGGTTTTGAGGGGCTGCAGACGGACAGGGGAGAAGGTCAGACCCAGATGCAAGTTACTGGCGGTTACTGGGTCCCTGGTGGGAGGATCCGGGGGCACCTCTGTTGTTGTTGTGGAAGTACCCCCTGCCCCCTCGAGAGGGCTGCTGTTTATTCTTAAAGCACGCAGAGGCAGGGTGATTTCCCCAGCACCGGTCGCATTCATGTAGATACTTACAGGAAGGTCTCGAGCATACACCCCTGTTGAACTCCCAGCAGAGGCGGCGCCGTTTCGCCTCTGTCTTACCCGCCTTGGCTGATCCCTGGTTTTTCTTTTCAATGTAGGGATTAACGTCCTCGCCCCAGTAGTTAGGGTCCGTTAGGTCCCATCGGGTGGAAGGCAGGAGAGAAGCATTTCTACGGAAGTTCTCATCATATGTTAAAGCGGCATTTTCCCCTGCGAGCGAGTGAGCCCGCCTCACATGAGCCAAATAAGCAACCAAATCCATGGAGCGCTGAGGATAAGCAGCACAAACAACACCCATGAAAACCTGGTACCCATCCAACCAATTCTCAAAGGTGCGCTCCGCCCTAGGGGTCCTGTACCTCCCCTTACCAGAGGATCGCCTCTTTTCTCCTTTTCCCATTAGTTTAGTAGGAGGGAGCAGGGTACACATGTCCACATAGTCCCCGTTGAGGATCTTATTCCTCTTCTTCTGGGACAAATGGTTCCCCAATATAAAATCAGTGGACTGATTGGTGGCAACCTTTACATCCTCGACCAACGCCCCATCCTTCCAGTCCAGTACTCCATTGAAAGTCTTACGATGTGAATTGGCTCTCCTTTCATGCGCCCAAAGTGGGATCCCGTGATTCCCTTCACCCAGACCCCAGTAACCATCCATGGGGCCCTCACTATCCGAATCAGAAGATGACGTACCTGACTCATCCTCCGTCTCGGACTGCTTACTTCTTTTCTTCTTGGCAGACGTGTGCTTCTTGGATTTCCTCTTACCCCCTTGCACCTCACTGCTGGACGGGATCACGCTGGCCGGTGGCTGGGCCATTTGGGGTTCCGTCTGCGCTTCCTCCGACCCGGAACCCACACTGTCTTCAGTAGAGCTGTGCTGAGGCCGCTGTTCCTGAAACGCACTAGGAATGTCTACCACCTGTGAAAAGGCATTGCTACTGGTCCCTTTGGCACTAGCCTTCCCCTTGCCGGGACCCTTCGCCGGCGCCTTGCCTTTGCCAGCACTTTGGTTGGCTTTCTTAGTAATGGCTGCCTGGGCGCGGGTATTAGGGCGACCCACCGTTGCGGTTTCGGACTGGGCGCTGACCACTGCAGCGGCTGCAGTGCCCTGCAGCCCCTGATTATTAGGAGGAGTATCAGGTATTACCTCCTGTGATGGTTCCGGGACTGGGAGTGCCAGAGCCCTTGGCCTACACTGCCTATAAAATGTTTCGAAAGCCATGAAGAACTGAGCAAAGGCTTGCGGATCACATGGCATAGCCGGCAACTGAGTGCCTCCATTACTTGTGGAGGGTCCCGGCTGACTATCGTTGGAGAGAGCCTGCTGATTACCCCCAGAAGCCATACCCAAATATGAGAGAAGCAAGGAACCTTCTAATTATGTGGAAAACTCCTAGCTCAGTATTGCCCACACTGTGGAAATGTGTACCCGGTAGAAGCTACTAAGGATGAACAACCGCCCAATAGAAACTAGAATTAAGCTTATTAATTAATCAAGGTGGTAATAAACCAAAAGGAAAGTTTTAGAGGTGAGTATGAAACTGTGATATAAACTGTTCACTGCCAAATGCTGAGAGCCTCCCACAAAGCCAGCCAAGAATCCCTTAGGGAGACCTTTTAAGCTCTTTAAATTGCTGAAAAGTGTGCCAAAATATGACGCAAATAAGCCCTTAAGAAAACAATCCCAAAGTACGTTAATTATTGAGAAAGGAAAACCCTAAAGTGTGAACTTTTTATAAAGAGACTACGAAGCAGAGCATATGCCTTGGAAAATTGCAAGATGCAATGTGTTTGAAGCTGCAGCGTTTGCTAATTGCACCAATTAATTTTAAAAGCAGCGCTAAATACTATGCAAGCTGCAGCGTTTGCTAATTGCACCAATTAATTTTAAGAGCAGCGCTAAATAATATGCAAGCTGCAGCGTTTGCTAATTGCACCAATTATTTTTTTAAAAAGCAGTGCTTAATAATATGCAGGCCGCAGTGTTTGCTAATTGCACCACTTAATTTTTTATTTTTATTTATTTATTTATTTATTTTAAAAAGCAGTGCTAAATAATATTCAAGCTGCAGCGTCTGCCAATTGAACCAATCAATTTTTTAAGAGCAGCACTATGCAAGCTGCAGCGTTTGCTAATTGCCCCAATTAATTTTGCAAGCTACCGGCACCTTAGAAACAGCACACAACACTTTACCACTTTTTACGCTTTAGGTACTTGCTCCCAGCAGTTTGCAACAGTAGCAATTCCCCTTGCAAAGCCCGGGTGTACTGACGCAAGCAACAGAATAACCTTAACAATGAAGTTACAAAGTAGCAGCCCCCAGTCACAGAAAAGCTCCGTCTGCAAGTTACTAGGCAGTCTGAGTTACTTGTCAGACTGTGCTAACAAAAAGAGGCAGTTTTACTTGATTACACAACAATGTTGCCACCCCTTGCACAGCGAAAACACAGCTTAATAGTCAAAGAAAGGTTCTATATCTAAATGCACTTAAACTCACAGAGCGCAGAAGCCTCACCTAAGATGGCGGGCGCCCCCTCAAGCCACGTGATCAAGACAAAATGGCGGCCACTAGCTGCAGTAACCTAGGGAACCGGTAAACACTTTCACGCCACAGCAAGAAAAGCCCCGCGATCGCGCGCCCTCAAAGAAGCAGCCGCTTCTCCACCCTTTATTTTATTTATTTGTTTACTTATTTATTTTAGGAAGATGGCTCAAGCGCCCTGTTCTGCTCAATAAACAAGCTGCCCGCTATCAATGGAGCGCCAGCGATACCGCGAACGCTCAGGCGCGCAAGTGTGAGGGGCGCAGGCTGCAAGAATTTAAACAAACGTCCCTGCGCTCGCTCAGACGCCCAAGATGCACAGCCGCAAGGGTTTAAAAACAGAAGCCCAGTTCGGCACCCTCCCCCCAAAGTCACCAACCTCACGCAGTGCTGACGCCCTGCGTTATGAAGACAAAGCCTAGTCCCCTTAGTTGTGAAAAGAGCTGTAATCCAAAGTCTTTGCGTCCGAAAAGGAGAGCACGCTGTGGGAAAAAACCCCTGGTCCTGCTGCCCAGTGTTGGAAGAAAGCTGCAGGAGCCTCTGACGATGGGTAGACGAAGAGACCTAGCGGGAGGGAAAGAAAATTGAGCCGAGACCGGGCGAAGACCTCAAGGAAGGAAATACAAAACCGCTCAGCTGGCGAGGGGAAAGAGGGCGGTCCCCGGGCGTGCCTGGCCTTAAGTAGGCTAGGCCACGCCTCCCCAGCCCGCCGATTGGCAGGCCGGGTTGCAGGCACGCCCGGGGATTCCCTGGATCTCGCGGGGGCAAAAGGCCAACCCCCGCGTGTGTGGGAGGGGGTCACCCGCAACCCCCTCTCCTCCCAAGGTCGGAAATGGCTTTACTGCATCCAACCAAACATCATTCCCCAGTACGGAGAGATGTACTCCATCATTGCGGTAAAGGGCCAGTCTTGAAGGTAATATCTGGGTGGGAAATAACCAACCTACCCAAATCCGCCACCTTCTTACACACTGCGGAATTAATGCGCTTCCTGGCCCTTTCAGCAGCCTCAGGTCGAGAAATGCCTTTGCAGCAATTGTGACCAAAATATTTTAACTGTGGGTATTAAGGTCACCAATTCCCCCAAGTCTCTCTGAATCGTGGAGCACAAAGTAAAGCAGTCATAAGTTGCCACATCATTCTCCCCCAGCTGCAGCACAATTGCCACGGGGGGGGGGGTGTGTGCATCCGAAAGCATCCTCTGCTTAATTAGCGGGATGAATTCGCTCCACCGCATTCCGCGCCTGGACATCCACTACACCTGCACATGCTGCGGGAGGCCAAGACCCGGTCCCCTTCCAGACTGCCTCACTCTGATGCCAGCCCAGTAAACGATGCTGTGCCCCACAATCCAGATGCGGACTGGAGCTAGACCTACAGGATTGAGAACAAGCACACGTCAAATACAGGACTTCAACATCTCTCCCATACGTAACCCTTGAACGTATCAGATTTCCACCGACCCAGATCCTTAATCCTATCAGCCAACAATCCCCAATGGGCTGCCATTGTCGCCACACCAATGCGAAAGGAATGGGGTGGGAAACCATAAGTTGGGACCCCACAAGCAGATACGACCTTACGCATTACTTTCGAAAACTGATGTTGTGCCAAAGGGCGACCATTCTCGTGGATAAACAGTGGACCCTTCCCCAATGGTCTTACCCCCCAAAATTTCCTTAGATCCTTAACAGGGCAAGGACCCGGCTCCCCAGTCGCGGGGAGTCGAACAACTGCCCCCCGACCTAACTGGTCAGTTTTCGAGTTATGCACCACAATTCTCAATTCCATGGGGGATAAGCATATATCCTGCAGCAGCAGACCCCTGAACCACCATCCTGCCTGGCCTCCATGACCACCTCCCCCACCCATAATGCACCAAAAAATGCAATTGAAAAGGCTGCTGAAAAGAGGCGGGCCTCATGTTTAAACCAACAAATGACCCTTAATTTGGCGCACATTTTGCTCAGCGAGTCGAAAGTAATAGGCCACCAAACTGCCTTGCAAGGGGGACCAAGTTGACCCCACCCTTCTAGAGCCTTGCGCACAACAAACTTGACACAAGGATCCTTGTTGAAGAAAGATTTACTAAAAAAAGGAAGTAGCTGCGAAATGAATCTGGAGCATCCTAGCAGCTCGGCCCAGCTGAAACATGTGCGCCAAATATTGTAACACTTGGGAAATGGAGGGGGGACGATATTCCGCCTGCGACTGACTGGGTAAAATTTAAGAAGTCGGTCCAGGCTTTTTTATAAGACCTCAAAGTGGATATGAAATGGGGGCGACTACTCCCTGCAATACTAATTGCTGCCAAGGTTCCAGAGATGCTCTGGGAAATATTCTGGACGCGTCCGAGACTCTGGAGCCAGGGACCTGAATCGCGCCATCTGAAAATGGGATAGAGCATCAGCAATCTCATTAGATATCCCAGGGATGAAACGTGCAGAAAATACAATATTAAATTTCAAACAATGCAAAACGAATGCCCGCAACAGGGCCGATACCCTAGGGGAGTGAGATGACTGCTTGGCCCAGCACATTCACCAGAGCCTGATTGTCGGACCAGAAACAAACTTGATGGTCCCTGAACTTGTCGATCCATAAATGCACAGCTACTGCAATGGGAAAAACTCAAGAAACGTTACGTCCCACGTGATCACTTGTCCCCGCCAAGCAGATGGCCGGCACCTAGCGCACCATCTACCTTTCCAATACAAACCAAAGCCCAGCAAACCCGCAGCATCAGAGTGCACCTGAAAGTCGTGGAGATTCAAGATGTCCTGCCACAAAGACATGCCATTGAATTCTTCCAAAAATTCCAACCAAATCCGGAGGTCCTCTCGAACCTGCGCTGACAGACGCACCCTGTGCTGCAGAGCCTGTAGCCTGGCCAAATGTGAACAGAATGGACAGCCTGGGGCCACCACCCTGCATGCGAAATTCAAGTGACCCAGCAAGGGCTGAAGTTGTCGCAAAGTAACTTTCTTCAAAGGAAGAAGTTCCTGAATGACACTTCGCAGGGTAAGTATTTTATCGAATGGAAGGCTGGAGGTTTGCGACACAGTATCCAATTGGATACCCAAGTAGGTCAATGGGTAGATGGGCCCATGGTCTTGTCAGCTGCCAAAGGTACCCCAAATTCTTACATAAGGGAAGCAAAGGCCCTCAGCAATACCACGCGATCGCCGGTATCATGTGCAGAGGCCAGTAAAAAGTCATTGAGATAATGTGACACACCTACTAGGCTGGTTTTAACACACAAAGCCCATTCCAAAAAGGTGCTGAAACACTCAAAAGCGGAACAAGCTATTGAGCAGCCCATAGGCATAGCCTTGTCAAAATATTTTTTTTCCTCAAATTGAAATCCAAGCAACCAATAATCCTCTGGATGAATTGGCATCTAACGAAATGCAGATTCAATATCACACTTGGCCAGCAAGGCCCCTGGACCGAACTTCCTAATCATCTTGATCGTCTGATCAAGAGAGGCATGCTTCACGGAACTAAGCTCCGGGGGAATAACATCATTTACTGATGTGCCACGAGGATGAGATAAATTGTGAATCAGGCGAAATTCCCCCATAGCTTTTTTAGGGATAATACCCAGGGGAGAGAAGTGTAAATTAGGGAAAGGGGGAGCTGAGAAAGGGCCAGCCATACGATGTAAGGCCACCTCCTTCTCTATCTTCTTGCGGGCCACCCCAAGGATGGGGTGTCAAGAGCTTTTAAAACTTCCGACCGTTACCCAAGATACAGTTCAAAAGCATCATCACTACATCATTGCTACATCACAGTTACATCA